TTTTCATTTTTTAAAATATAAAATCATTTGCTAGTTGGAAAAACTTTTTCTAGCTCCTTTTAAAGTTTGATTTTAATATATTGAGAGAGTTTGTAATCAGTAATTTGCTATTGATTTCAGGCTATTTTAATTAGTATTTCAATCTCTTCCAAAACTAAATTGTTTTTTAGCTATTTAAAAATAGCTTTGAAAAGTTCTTTTTAAGTTCATTTTTTAAAGTGGAGGCAGAAGAAAATTGATACATTTCATTATCTCTTTATTGTGTTTCTTTGTTTTGTCTTCTTTATTGTATCTCTTTATTGTGTCTCCGAGTGTCAACATGATACTGTCTGAGGAATAAGGAAGGGGAAAAAGCAAAGTTCACAAATGACCACAAATGAATTGATTTTCTCCAGTTAGAACTATGGGTGTGCAGTGGCTCACACCTATAATCCCAGCATGTTGAGAGGCCGAGGTGGGTGGATCACTTGAAGTTGGGAGTTCAAGGCCAGCCTGGCCAACATGACGAAACTGTCTAAAACTACTAAAAATACAAAAATTCACCAGGCATGGTGGTGCATGCCTGTAGTCACAACTACTTGGGAGGCTGAGGCAAGAGAATCACTTGAACTCGGGAGGCAGAGGTTGCAGTGAGCCAAGATCATGCCACTGCACCACTCCAGCCTGGGTGACAGAGCAAGACTCTGTTTCAAAAAAACAAAACAAAACACTATGTATAATTTTTAATTTATTCTGTAACTGCTTTGAGTTTAAATTGATAATATGATCCCTAAAAATATACATACACGCATACTTTATATCTTGTAAATCTTAGGAAGAAAATAGAGTTTCTTGATAACAAAAAACATGTCAAGACATTTAAAAATTTAGAAATAAATCATTAACTAGTTGGCAGAAAAACAAGTCAGGTCCAGCTGGCTTTGATCCCACTCAATGCAGGATTTTGCAGATCCTTTCTCTTCACAACTAAAATTTTTTCTTTTCCTAGCCATATTTTTGCTATAAACTAGTAATTATCCCTTAATTTTTTGCTTTTTTTTTTTAGTTTTATTAACAGAATTTTAAAATTTAAGATTACTTATCTACATTTAAAAAGTAGGTAACTTAGTTTTCCCTGTCTTTGCTTACTGGGAATTCTGGCCTACTTTCCTTAGAATTCTCAGAAAATGTTTAAGATCTAGGATCACTATATTTAAGATCTAGGATCATTATCTTCTTAGTTGCTTTCATTGTTGAGTACTGAGTATGTGCCAGACACTGGCCTAAATTCGTTGTGTATGCAATATTTAATTCTCACAATAATCCTACAAAGGTTGGTATAATTGTCTTCACTTAACAAATGAGAATACAGAAGCTGAGAGAGACTAAGTACTTTTTGCCAGCTAGTCAGTAGCAGAGGTGGAATATGAACCAAACTCTGTTTCCTTGGGCTGGTTTTTTTTTTTTTTTTTTTTTTTTTTGCTTTCCATAAACCCTGATACTCCTTTTCTATATTATATCCATCCCACCTAATCAATGTGATTATAAAATAATGAAAATTTTGAAACTTCTCCACCCACTCATCTTTTTTTTGTGTCTCAAAAAAAAAAAAAAAAAAAGTAATCCCAGCACTTTGGGAGGCCGAGGTAGGGGGATCACCAGAGGTCAGGAGTTTGACACCAGCGTGACCAACATGGAGAAACCTGTCTCTACTAAAAATACAAAATTAGCTGGATGTGGTGGCATGTGCCTGTAATCTCAGCTACTTGGGAGGCTGAGGCAGGAGAATCTCTTGAACTCGGGAAGTGGAGGTTGTGATGAGCCGAGATCGCACCATTGAATTACATCCTGGGCGAGAAGTGTGAAACTGCATCTAAAAACAAAACAAAACAAAAAACAGATGAGCAAATTTTATCTTAAATTCTTTGTTAGCTGATCTCAACAATATAGATGTCTGATTTCCATTTAAAATCCAGTTCTACACCTTTATTCTCCAGTTATAAAGCGTGGGATTTTGTTCTTTCATTTCAAATCTATGGATAAGCATAAGTGGTCTGTTAACATCCTGGGTTTTTTTCTCTTTTTTGGTTTCATTGCATTTATACCATTGACCTTTGCTTCAGAAAGCATTCAAGTCTTTCTTAACAGAGAAAGACCATGAAAGAGAGTTTGTAAAGTCTTTATTCTATGAAAGAAGTCACACAGGCAAAGTTTTATATTTGCTGAGTGATTTCTTTTTTTTTCTTTTTTTTTTCTGAGACGGAGTCTTGCTCTGTCACTCAGGCTGGAGCACAGTGGTATGATCTTGGCTCACCAAAACCTCCTCCTCCCAGGTTCAAGTGATTCTCCTGACTCAGCCTCCCAAGTAGGCACACACCACCACGCCCAACTATTTTTTTTGTATTTTTAGTAGAGACGGGTTTTCACTATGTTGGCCAGGCTGGTCTCAAACTCCTGACCTCAGGTGATCTGCCTGCCTTGGCCTCCCAAAGTGCTGGAATAAAGGCGTGAACCACCATGCCCAGCCTATATTTTCTTTTAAAAGAGAAAAGCACCTTTTTTTCCTGTTGTTTTAAAATCTGGTCACGCACGGTGTCTTATACCTGTAATCCCAGCACTTTGGGAGGTCAAGGCAGGTCAATCACTTGAGCCCCAGAGTTTGAGACCAGCCTGGGCAATAGGGCAAAACCCTGTCACCACAAAAAGTACAAAAATTAGCCAGGTGTGGTGGTGCATACCTATAGTACTAGCTACTTGGGGGGGCTGAGGCAGAAGGACCACCTGAACCCAGGAGATTAAGGCTGCAGTGAGCCGAGATCATGCCACTGCATTCTGGAGGACTAAATGAGACCCTGCCTCAAAAAAAAAAAAAACAAAAAAACAAAAAAAAACACCCAGGAAAAAATAAAGCATAGTATGTGCACTCAGACAACTACTTTATCAGAATTCATGAAGTCACTCATGATTTTTTTTTAAATCAGCAATTAAGGAGCAGATCCTCCATAGAGAAAGTCTTTTAGTGCCCCAAGCAGAATTATGATGGGAAAACCCACTTTAGGAATAACAACTACTTCGGGAACACTGGGTATCTTATGGTTATACAATATTATTAAGTGATTTTGTGTTTGAAAGTAATACCTCTTTCTTGTAGGTTGTGGGTTGGGCAAACACCATCATTGAAAGTAACTGTTTATCCTTTTGTATACTGAATAAGGTATTTAAAGGAATGAGGAGTAAGCATATATTGATTAACATTTTAAAAGCCTTGGAAATAACCTAATGAAGTGTTGTTAACCATTCTTTGAAAGGTACATCATGTTTTTTATAATTTTCTGATAGTATAGAGGTGCTTCAATTGACTGGTTCCTTCTTTTTTTTTTTTTTTGAGACGGAGTTTCGCTCTTGTTGCCCAGGCTGGAGTGCAATGGCGTGATCTCGGCTCACCACAACCTCCGCCTCCTGGGTTCAGGCAATTCTCCTGCCTCAGCCTCCTGAGTAGCTGGGATTACAGGCACATGCCACGATGCCCAGCTAATTTTTAGTATTTTTAGTAGAGACGGGGTTTCACCATGTTGACCAGGATGGTCTCGATCTCTTGACCTCGTGATCCACCCGCCTCGGCCTCCCAAAGTGCTGGGATTACAGGTTTGAGCCACCGCGCCCGGCTGACTGGTTCCTTCTTATTGAATCATAAAATATTGCTGAATTTTATTTTTTATGAATACAGGTTTTCTTTGATAGATCTTTAAGTACCTTGGGATACTCTTGTGTAAGACTACATATTTGTATGTGGCTTCTTTTCTTTCCTTCTTTGCTTAATTACTTATGATTCATAGATTCATGCTTGATAGCATAAATTAGATAATGTAAATTTTTGTTGCATTTTTAAAAACAGTGCTTATATTCTATTCTATGATCAGTATAAATTTTAATTAATTAAGTGTTAAACATCAAAATATTTGGGCTTGTATCTCTGAGAAACTTGGACTTTGTTAGGCTGCAGCTTCTCTTCAAGCAATAAGATTTCTCAGCCTTTGTTAAAAACATGAAATTTGGCCAGGTGCAGTGGCTCACACCTGTAATACCAGCACTTTGCTGAGGGAGGCAGATCACGAGGTCAGGAGATTCAGACCATCCTGGCTAACAAGGTGAAACCCCATCTCTACTAAAAATACACAAAAAATTAGCTAGGCATGGTGACACACACCTGTAGTCCCAGCTACTCAGGAGGCTGAGGCAGGAGAATCACTTGAACCCGGGAGGCAGAGGTTGCAGTGAGCCGAGATCAGGCTGCTGCACTCCAGCCTGGGTGACAGAGCAAGACTCCGTCTCACACACACACAAAAAAGACCTGAAATTTACTTGCAGTGAGAAAAGCGACCAAGATTTATTCTGAACATGGTAGAAACACCATCACTGGAGTCAGGACCTATATCGATGGTGAATTGTAATGCTTTGGATCTACAGAATGAAACCTGATACCCAAGTGGATATCAAATTATTTGGCAGACAAATTTCTTGTACCAATTTACAGTCAATCTTAGGAGTAGGCAGTAGGGTTGGAAAAAGTCTGGCTTTGTATGAATAGACTTTACTTACTAGCTGAAGACAATAACTTTATCTGAATTCTCTCAGTAGTAAAATAAGTATTACAACCCTTACCAGGTAGAATTACCTTGAGGATTAGAGAAAAAATATATTTATTGACATAAGCCCTCAATAAATGATAGCTCATTGTTTTTATCATCATCATCATAATTATTACTCCTGTTTTCAAATGCCTCCATTTTACCTTTTCTGTAAAATTATTTGTTAGCTAAGAAATTGCATTCTGCAATATACTAGGCAGCTTTTAATAACAATACAGAGTTTGATAGGTGATTTCTTTGGATACAAGGCTTTGAGATATGGTAAGTGTGTATGATTTACATGAACTGGGCCTTCTTTCCCTTCTGGGATGTTAGGCAGTACAACTTTTAAACTGATTTACTTTTATTCATTGTCTTTGCTTTTATTTGCAGTTCTGGGAAATGCCAGTGCAAAGTGGGTGTCATTGGCTCTACATGTGACCGATGCCAAGATGGTTATTATGGCTTTAGTAAGAATGGCTGCTTGCCCTGCCAATGCAATAATCGGTCTGCCAGTTGTGATGCCCTCACAGGTATGTGCTTTCCTTAGCTTTTTCATGTAATTATTCCACTGTTCTTTTCATTTGGAAATCTTTCAGCTATAGATTGATTCTTCTGAAATAGTTTGAAAGGGCCTTTATCTTCTAAATAGGATGGAATGGATCACAGCAAGCCAAACTCCTGCTACGACAAACTTGAAAAAGTACATAAATTTCAAAAATCATATTGATTGGAGAGCTATGGAGGCAAGGAGAACTGTATGTAGGAACTAAACTTCCAGAAAGGTTGGAACTCTTTCTAGGTAAACTGATGATCACCAGCCGTTGTCTTTCCAGGGGACATTTGCTGATTCTGAGCATAGGCTAAGAATGAGCTAGACCCAAGCAAAGGAATTCTTCTTTAGAAAAGAGATACAAGAAGAGTTTTTGGCTGTCATTTGAGGCTTGCATGATGGTGAGAAACAAGAGGATCCCTAAACACAAGGCCAGCTTTTCCACAGGATATTAGCTGACTATGCAGAAGATGGAAGGCTGGGCCAGAAAGGTAGAAAAAAATATCTTTCAGTCTTGTGTGGAGGAGACAAAATCCCTTTAGAGAGAGAGGGCCTGCTATGACATTCAATTATCTCCCCCTCAAGATGTTCTCAGACTCTGAAGGTGCATGCAGTGGGACCTAGATTCAAACTACCAAAGGCCAATACTGAATCTCTCACAGTCTTTTAGGACTAAGGAGACACAGGCTTGCTAGGCTGTCAGTCAAAAGCTTTAGAGGGCCATGACCAAGAAATAGTGATGAACCAGAAGTTGATTAACTCATACTAAAATTACAGTCCAACTGTAATTTTCTGCCTCAACTTCTGACTGGACTGAAGTAATTCTCTCATTGTATCTACCCAGCAGATGAAAGGGGAGCCCTCTCTAGTTCTTTTATATACTGTGTCCAGCATGCAATAAAAATACTAGACAATGCAAAGACAGAAAAATGTGACCAATACCAAAGAGAAAAAAACGAGCAATGGAAGAAGACCTTTAGGTGATCTAGATGTTAGAGTTAGCATAAAAAGACTTAACCAAATTAGTATTTTAATAAAATAGAGGGAAAATCAGGCAAAATAGGTGAAGAGAGGCAAAATTTCAATAGAAATTGGAATCTCTAAAAAATCAAATGAACAAAACTAGAACTGAAAAATACATGTGAATTATTAACTCATTGCATGAATTTAACAGTAGATTGTACACAGTGAAGACAAAGTTCACTGTGAATACAGTACAATTAAAAATATCCAAACTGAAGCATTTTGAGAAAATATAATGGAAAGAACAGAGCAGGGAAGATGTGGGACACAAACAAAAAGTTTAACATAAATGTAATTGGAGATCCAGAAAGAGATGAAAGAGATACTGGATCACAGCAGTATCTGAAGAGAAAATGGCCAGGAATTTTCCAAATTGATTAAAGGCGTCAACCCACAGATTCAGAAAGCTTAGCAAACCCTAAGCAATATAAAAACAAAGAAAACCACGTTTAGGTAAATTTAGTCAAACCATTAAGAACTAAAGCCAATTAACTTCTGATCTTTAGTTTTCCTAAATGTAAGGATTAAGTATCCTTCCTTGGAAACTTTTTTTTCCCAACCTCCCCCTCCCACCCACCCCTCCCCGCCCAAAATGAGGACACACTAGTCTGACAAGTACAAATGTTTTTATGAGAACAGGGTGGCAAAACATTTGAAGTTCAAAAGTACCCTGGAAAAAGTCTATTGAAAGCTCATTCTTCATTCGAATACTCTATTAGTGAAACAAATTGATTTAGAAGAAATTGTGGTTTTTTTCTTTTATGTGATTTTGTCCCTGCCTATTTGCCAGTTTTATCTTTTTCAGTGGCGTTCTTTTTCTTTACATCTGTGATCCAGTCACACTGGCTTTTATTTCTAAAACAAGGTATGTTCCCTGGTCCCAGGGTTCTCATATATGATCTTTCTTCTGCCAAGAATGGTTTTTCTAATCTACCTCTACTTCCATCCTTGATCCCTTTGCCTTATTAAATCATATTCTTCCCTTGGGTCTTTAATTAAAGGCCATGTCATTAGAAGGCATTTCCTGATGCTGTAGGCTCAATGGTAATTTCTCTATTATATGTTCTCACATATACTTGTATTTTTTCATAGTACTTTTCACAGTTTGTAACTGTATGTTTGTGGTTATGAGTCATATATGGCTCACTCATGAGGGAAAGAACAGTATCAGGTTTTTTTTCACCATTGTATACACAATCTCTAACCTGGGGCTTAGCATATAATAACTGCTAACTAAATTTTTATCAAATAAATGAACAAATGAATGGAAAGACATACAGAAGAAAGATGATTTTCAATACTGGGTAACAACAGGAATGCTTCATCATACTGAGTCGATTTAAATTACTCCCTAGATCTTTTACAGTACCGAAAAGCAGTCTACATTGCTGATTCTCAGTTTTAATTTTGCTTGCAGCAATGAGACCGCTCTCTTTACTGTCATGTAAGTGCTGACTTGTCCTTGCTCTGGAGATAATTTAAGGCAAAAGGACTCTTTCATGGTTATGGTTTCTAAAAGCAGCTAATAGTGAGAGAAATAAATGGTTTCTTTGTTTGGAATTATAATGAAAGTGGAATCCAACATGAAGGAGTGCAAACACTTTATTTAAAACTGCAAACTTTATATAAAACCACTCGAGTGAATTTATTTTCAACAGTGCTGTGATAAGGTTGCCCTCTGGTGGCCACTTACTATGGTTTCACAGTCCTATTTTCACCCCCTCTACTGTTTTTCTATGCCTTGTGTCTTAGATTTTCAAAGTACTCTTTTTTTTTTTTTGTGGTAAAATATATTTGAATAAACATTTTGGAGATCAATTTGAAAGTATTAGAAATCTTAAAAATTCTTCTTTGATCCGGTAATTCTATTTCCAGAAGTCTATTCTAAGGAAATAATTCTAAATTCTTTTTTTTTTTGAGACAGAGTTTCGCTCGTTACCCAGGCTGGAGTGCAATGGCGCGATCTCGGCTCACCGCAACCTCTGCCTCCTGGGTTCAGGCAATTCTCCTGCCTCAACCTCCTGAGTAGTTGGGATTACAGGCACGCGCCACCATGCCCAGCTAATTTTTTGTATTTTTAGTAGAGATGGGATTTCACCATGTTGATCAGGATGGTCTCGATCTCTTGACCTCGTGATCCACCCACTTCGGCCTCCCAAAGTGCTGGGATTACAATCGTGAGCTACCGCGCCTGGCCTCTAAATTCTTAAGAAGCTTATGTTCAAAGATGCTCACCAAAGTGTAATTACAATTTTAAAAAGTTAGGCAACCAATTTCTCACAATAGAGTATTAAGTAAATACTGTTATCTAGACAATGTATTATTAAAAACACAGAAAACCAAATCTTGATCTTACCTTGGGCACGTTACTTAATCTGTTTCTTCATCTATAAATTTGATATAATAGTAACTGCCTAGTGGGTTGTTGTGAAGATTAAATGCAGTACATTTGTACAGCCTTCATATAGTACCTGGCCTATCACAAGTAATCAATAAATGGTAACTATTCTTATATTCTTGATAAATGTTTTAAAGAATGATATATAGCAATATGAGAAAGTGAAAGAAGCAAGGTATAAAATGACACATGCCATATAATTAGACTAGTTAAAAAATAAAAGCCAAATCCCTATAAATGAAGAAAGATTACAAAAAAGAAAAGTACTAAAAATCTTTTTTTTTTTTTTTTTGAGACCGAGTATTGCTCTGTCACCCAGGCTGGTGATCTTGGCTTACTGTAACCTCCGCCTCCCAGGTTCAAGTGATTCTCCTACCTCAGCCTCCTGAGTAGCTGGGATTACAGGTACCCACCATCACACACCTGGCTAATTTTTGTATTTTTTATGGAGATGGGGTTTCACCATGTTGGGCAGGCTGATCTTGAACTCCTGACCTTAGGTGATCCACCTGCCCTTAGGTGATTTGCCTTGGCCTCCCAAAGTGCTGGGATTACAGGCTTGAGCCACTGAGCCTGACCTAATAATCTGAATATTTCCTAGGATGATTTTTCCTCCTTTCTACTCCTGTATTTTTCTAGATTTTCTTTATTAAGCACATGTTTCTTTTAAAATGGAGGTGGGGATATTATTTTTAAACTAGAACTTTATGTTCATATAACATACTTCCTCTGACAATCCAGTGTATCTTTATGTATTCATAGTGTCCCATGATGAGAAACGACCTGGGCAGCTTGACTGAGTTGACCAATCCTCTACTCCCCAGTGATACTCACTTCAGAGTATCGTGCTTTCCTGGTTTTTGTGCAACTTAACCAGCATTTCCTTCTTATCAGTTCTACTATATCTTCCTCAGCTCAACTACAAACACCGGAGTGCCTCTGGGCTCAGAGCTTGTCAAGTTTGTCTTCTGCATTTATGCTTTCTCCCTAAGCGGTCTCATTCAGTCCCCTGGATTTAATTTGTATTTGTTTGTTTTAGTTCACTTCCCCCCTTAACCCTGATTTTAATTTGAATGTTGTCTATATATGTGTTTATTATCAGATTTTCATTTCTCCCTTGATTCCACACTCAAATATCCAACAGTCAAATATCCACTTGACGTCTTCAGTTGAATGTTTTAATTGGCATTATAAACCTAACACATCCAAAACATTTTTTCCAACTTTGTAAGCTAAGCCTGCTCTATCCAGTTTACCCAGTTGCTCAGTCCCAAAACCTAGTAGTCATATGTGGTTTTTCTCCTTTTTCTTACTGCAAATATCCAGTCCGTCAGTATGTTCCATTAGCCCTATCTTCAAAACATACCCTGAATCTGACCACTGTTCATGACTTTGTCACATCATCCTTGCCCAAACCGCTGTCATCTCTTTGAGCTACTTTGGTACAGTCTCATCTTGTCTTTCAGACTCCTCTCTTCTCTCCCTATTCTCTGAACCCCACCCCACCACAGTTACTCTCCATGTAAGAACCAGAGCAATCTTTTAAAATATAAAACTAGATCATGTCATTTTCATGCTTAAGCTCTCCAGTGGTTTCTCATCCCTTTTCAAATAAAATTCAGACATATCTCTGTGGTCTATCTAGTTTTACATATTCTGGGCCCTCACTTTCTCTCTGACCTTATGCCCTGTTACTTTCCCTTGTTAACCTGGGCTCCATATTGGCCTTCTTTCAGTTTGACAGGTTAAAGCTTGCCTTTTGTTCCATGAAGAGCATAGGCATTTCTTCCTCCAACAAAGTACATTGCTGTATTTCAGACAAGTTTATGTGTAAAGGAGGAAATGGTAAAATAAAGGAATAAGAAAATGTCTTTTTGCAGGTAACAATGTATATTTTCAAAGTTTTGTCCCTTAATTTGGCTGGAAAGGAGCCCTACATTCCTTTCTTTGACTAGTTGTTTTCTTGGTTATCTCTACAAAGATTTTTGAGATGCTTAGTTAAGGAGCATGAAAAAAATCATCTTCAGGAAACACTCGTGCCTTTTTCTTCTGATCCACCCTTTGGGCATCTTTCAGCAATGATAATGTGAGAATATGAGTTTTAGACCAGTATTGTTATCTTTTGGGGGTTCCAGGCAGAGCATAATGAACAATGTTAAACTTCAGCTTATTTTTATGTATCGTTTATCATAAAAGAAAGATGCTTAGATTTTAGATGTAAAGGATACCTTAGATTTCATCTAGTTCAGCTTTTAAAATTTACAGATGAGGAAATTAAGACATAAAGAGAAAACATTATGTCATGTGGAATAGTCTTTCACCCTTTGAAATGCTCACATTTTGTTAAAATCATTAGCCAAAGAATTATTATCCCATTTTACAGATTAGAAAAGTGAAAATCAGAGAAGCTGTTTGCTTAAGTTAATGCAGTTCATGAGAAGTTCAGCTGGGAATGGAATACAAATTTGACATTAAATCCCATACCATTTTTTTAATGCTACGTTGCCTCTCACAGAGGAGTTGTAAGCTATTAAAAAAGCAAATTCACATCATTAGTTCTTGCTGCATATAGATTTTTAAACGTTATGGTCTTTATTTTTATTGTAAAAATAAATAATTCTTAAATATGTATATGAAGTGTTTCAAATTACTTGTGTTCTTGAAATATTTTATAAAGTGTATATATTTTACAGTGTGCTATTTAAAAATAAGAAAAATCAAGATAATAAAAATAAAAGTGATGCATGTATACTGGAAACAATTTGAAGACTAGATGAGTGAAAACACTGGAAGGCCTATTACCTCTCACAACTATTGTTAACACTTTGGTTATTTATATCTGGCCTATCTTTAATTTATTTTCTTTCTCTATAGTTGTACTTCAGGTGCATGCACCTTAAAGCAATGTAACAGTGATGGATATTTAAGAACCGATGAATTTTATTCTTTTTAATTTATTATTTTTTTCTTCTGAGACAGGATCTCGCTCTGTCTTCCAGGCTGCAGTGCAGTAGCATAATCATAGCTCACTACAGCCTTAACCTCCCAGACTCAAGCGATCCTCCCACCTCAGCCTCCCAAGTAGCTGGGACTATAGGCATGCACCACCACACCCAGCTAATATTTGTATTTTTCATAGAGACAAGGTTTTGCCCTGTTGCCCAGGCTGGTCTCAAACTCTGGGCTCAAGTGTTTCATCTGCCTTGACCTCCCAAAGTGCTGGGATTACAGGTGTGAGCCACTGTGCTGGGCTAAATTTTATACTTGCTTTCATTTTCACTTTTGAGATAGCACTGTTTATTATGTAAGATATATATATATATATATATATATATATATACACACACACACGCACACACGCACATACATACATACATACATATATATTTTTTAAAGAGTAGCAACATGGCCTTTTCTTGTTACATCAGTTATGCACAAAGGACTTATTATTGGACTGCATCTTACCCCAAACATCCAAATTTTATTACAGAATTGTTGGCTTTTTTTTTTTCAGTATTTTTATATTAAAACTTAGCACTTTTTGTATTGAACATTTTTAATGGGGGGAGGAAGTAGACATATTTCACACATTATGTATGTTTTGACATGTCCAACCTGAGGAACAATTTAACTTTTAAAATTGTTTTATGCGAGAAGACACAGATCTAAAGAAAAAAAGCGAAAATTAAAATTGTTTTATTTTTAGAGCAAAAATCCAGTTTTCTAGTGTGTATTTTTTAGCTGTTTTTATTGTCACAAAGATACATAGCTAAAGAGAGATCACAATATAAAAAGATCTGGAAAGAAGCCAGTACCTAAAGTGTCTACCACAGCATGAATATATGCTACTTTGTTATATGTGTTAAAAATATCATTAACACTATCAGGCCTTAAAAATTACATGATTTAAAGTGATTATATACAAGTTTGATTTAATTTAATGTTAAGTATTAATATAATAAACTTTTGAAGATATCTTTCATGGGGGAATTTTGCTGTGGTCAGTTAAGAATTGAGATTTATACTTTGGGAGGCCTAGTTGAGCGGATCACTTGAGGTCAGGAGTTCAAGATCAGCCTGGCCAACATAGTGAAACCCTGTCTCTACTAAAATACAAAAATTAGCTGGGTGTGGTGATGCATACCTGTAATCCCAGCCACTCAGGAGGCTGAGGCAGGAGAATCACTTTTTTTAACCTCATGTTTATATCCATCTGGTTAGTGTATTCTGTAACCATTTAGTTAGTGCATTTAGTGTGGTTTTTAAAATTTAATAAGCATTCTCTTTCTGTATGTGTTATTCTCCAATTTGCTTTTCAACCAACTTTTTTTTTTTTTTGAGACAACCTCTCACTCTGTCATCCAGGCTGGAGTATGGTGGTGCAATCTTGGCTTACTGCAACCTCTGCCTCCCAGGTTCAAGCAATTCTCCTTCTTCAGCCTCCTGTGTAGCTGGAATTACAGGTGTGCACCACCTCGCCTGGCTAATTTTTGTATTTTTAGTAGAGACGAGCTTTCACCATTTTGATCAGGCTGGTCTTGAACTCCTGACCTCGTGATCCGCCTGCCTTGGCATCCCAAAGTGTTGGAATTATAGGCGTGAGTCACCTTACCTAGCCATCAACCAAAGTTCTTTCTAAGATTTGGGCTGAGTGGCTTTTCTAATGGCTTACGCCAAATCTTTGGGAGGCCAACACAGGAGAATCACTCAAGGCTAGGAGTTCAAGATCAGCCTGGGCAACACAGTGAAATCCTGTCTCTAGAAAGAATTTTAAAATTAGCTGGGTATAATGGCATGTTCCTATAGTCACAGCTACTTGGGAGGCCCCATCTCTTAAAAAAAAAAAAAAAAAAAAAAAAAGATTTATGCATGTTCATGCATATATGATTAGTTTACTTATGAAAATACCACAATTTATCTGTTCTTCTATTAATATGCATTTGGATTATTTTAATTTTTTTCTTGGCACATAGTTGGCTTACTTTTGGTATGTAGTCAGATCAACCAACAAGAGTTTATTGAGCCACTAATCCTGTATCCCACCTTTCCCTAAGGAGTTTACAATCTAGTAGGGGACACAATTCATAGACATGGCCAGTATAGAAATCAGGTGGGGTAGAAATCAACTCTATCCAATCCCAATTTTTCTTTTTCTTATGATCTATTTGTTGCAGGCATGATTTTTGAAAGTTACTGGGCTTTCGAGGTAAATCTTTAACCTTTAAAAATAATTTGCTTCTTTTAGGTGCTTGTTTAAACTGCCAGGAAAATAGCAAAGGAAATCACTGTGAAGAATGTAAAGAAGGATTTTATCAGAGTCCTGATGCCACTAAAGAATGTCTTCGCTGCCCTTGTTCAGCAGTGACATCTACAGTCAGTTGCTCAATAAGTAAGGCTTTTCTCTAACTCTTCATTTTAGAGGAAAAGAAATCAGTGAATCAGTTATTAACAGGTATAAATTGCATTGATGAATAAAGTTCTGGATGCTATAGGTGAAAGGGAATTATAGAAACAGCAAAAGTTTTCCTTTCCAGAATTTATAATCTAATATGTATCTACATATGTATGTGTGTGTATGTATGTATATATCGTATATGTATATGTGTGTGTGTGTATATACATATATATATATATATATATATATATATATATATATATGAATGAGACTTAAAGTGTCTAAAAAGCAGCATAATGAGTTAATACAGGAACTTCAAGACTGAGCAACTTTTGCTCATCTGTTTCAAGGTAACATTCACTAATTAGTTCTTCCTAGACACCAGTACCAAATAATGTTGAGTAATTGTGTATATATGGCAGTCTTACAGATATAGTTGACTCTTAATCCTGATGTATTTATTAGTTATCTATTGCTACATAGCCTATTAACCTAAAACTTAGTGGCTTAAAACAATAAGCATTTATTATGTCACATATTTTCTACTAGGATTTTGGAAGCAGCTTAGCAGGGTGGTGCAGGTTTGAATTCTTCCCTCCTTTCCTTCCTTTCCCCCTGCCTGTTTAAATAACAACTTTAGCCAGGCTCAGTGGCTCATGCCTCTAATCCCAGCGCTTTGGAAGGCCAAGGAAGGTGGCTTATGAGGTCGGGAGTTAGAGACCAAACTGACCAACATGGTGAAACCTCGTTTCTACTAAAAATACAAAAATTAGTCAGGTGTGGTAGCATGTGCCTGTAATTCCAGCCACTCAGGAAGCTGAGGCAATAGAATTGCTTGAACCCAGGAGGTGGAGGTTGCAGTGAGCCGAGATCGCACCACTGCAATCCAGCCTGGGTGACAGAGCGAGACTCCGTCTCAAAACAACAACAACAACAACAACAACAACAACAACAACAACAACAACAACAACAGAACTATAATTCACATTTCATAGAATTTATTTAAGATGTGAAATTCAGTGTTTTCTAGTACATGGTCTCAAAGTTGTGCAAGCATGATCACAATCAATTTTAGACATTTGCATCACCTTCTTCAACAAAAAGAACCTAAAAAACAATCCCGTAACTGTTAGCAATCACTCCCTTTTCCTCTGGCCTTAGGCAACCATTAACCTACTTTTTCTGCTCTATGGATTTGCCTATTCTGAACATTTCATATAAATGAAGTCATACAATATATGGACTTGGTGTGTCTGGCTTTTTTCACTTAGCATATTATTTTCAGTTCATTTATGTTACAACATGTCTCAATACTTCATTCCTTTTTATTACTAAATAATATTGTATTATGCCATGTTTCATTTATCTCTTTATCAGTTGATAGACATTTGTGTTGTTTCTACTTTTTAGCTATTACAAATAATTTTGCTGTGAACATTTGTATATGTGTGTTTGTGTGTACATATATTTTCATTTATTTTCAGTACCTACCTGGTAGTGGAATTCCTGGGTCATGTAGTAACTATGTTTATCCTTTGGAAGAACCGTCAGACTCTTCTAAAATGAATACACCATTTTACATTCTCATTCTCACCAACCCTGTATGTAGGTTTCAAATTTTCCACAGCTTCACCAATACTTACTATGTGCCTTTTTATAATTATAGCCATCCTAGTAGATATAAAGTGGTATTCCACTGTGGTTTTAAGTTGCATGTTCCTGGTGGCTGGTTTTGTGCTTATTGGTCATTTGTATATTTAGAGAAATGTCTGTTCAGATCCTTTGACCATTTAAAAATTGGATTATTTATCTTGTTATCATTGAGTTGAAATAATTATTTATATATTCTAATACAAGTCCCTTAACAGATACATGATTTATAAATATTTTTTATATTCTGTGATTTAATTTTTTGCTTTCTTGATGGTTACCTTTTCAGCAAGGCCCAGTTCAAATATTACCTGCTTCATCAAGACTTCTCTATACCTCCCAGTAGGAAATTCTCCTCTCCCTCAAGCTCTCGTACTGCAGTGCAATATTATGTATTTCTATATAGTGGATCCACCAAGAGGGAATAGTTACTTTACCTGGAGTAGGGGAATATTGGCAGTGGCTTCAGAGAGGATGAGACATAAAAGCTGAGTCTTGTATGGGATTCTGCATTTAGCAGGTGGACAAGAGAAGGAAGGACATTTCAGATAAAAAGATCAATATGAGGGCCGGGCGCAGTGGCTCAAGCCTGTAATCCCAGCACTTTGGGAGGCCGAGGTGGGCGGATCACAAGGTCAAGAGATTGAGACCATCCTGGTCAACATGGTGAAACCCCGTCTCTACTAAAAATACAAAAAATTAGCTGGGCATGGTGGCGCATGCCTGTAATCCTAGCTACTCAGGAGGCTGAGGCAGGAGAATTGCCTGAACCCAGGAGGCGGAGGTTACGGTGAGCCGAGATAGCGCCATTGCACTCCAGCCTGGGTAACAAGAGCGAAACTCCGTCTCACAAAAAACAAAAAAAAAACAAAAAAAAAGATCAATATGAACAATGGTACAGAAATCTTAAAACAGCTAATTTGATCAAGAAACTACTTAGGAATGGCAGAAACAAAGTATAAGGCAGAAGGAGTGAAACATGAGGCAGGAACATAGAATGTAGTGTTTGAGGTCCAGTTGGTCTGACCTTAAGGACTGAAACCTTAATTTCAGTCCTTCAATCTATTTCATCAGGACTTTTTAGATTAGTTACTGTTGCTATAGTTGTTGAAGTACAAAAATATTGTAAAATATGGTACTATTGTAAGCTATAACTTGAATATATTCCTTGAGAACAAGCAATATATGCCTTTTTGCTGAGTATTTTTTTCCAGCATATTATTGTTTGCATGGGTTATGAATCATTCAGCTACCACCTTTCATTGCTAAAAGTAATCTAAGTATTTCTGTTTTAATTCCCTTATTTGAAATATGGAAAGCTGGGGCCCAGAGTTTAATAATTTACTTGAGATCACACTACCAACTAGGATTGTGTAAGTGGTAAGTTAGAATTATTTATCAATTGCACACTCTGGGAATATACTAAAACCATTGAATTGTATTCTCTTAATGGTTGAATGTTATGGTATGTAAATTATATCTCAAAGACATTTTAAAAAGTAAAAGTGAAAGATGAAAGGAATTCATTTTTCATAAAGAACATCAGAAATATGATTCATTGCCACAAGTTCCATGACCACTGTAACGTATTCCTGCTATAATAACATTAGTATGTGTTTAGATAACAGAGTGATCCTGTTAGTGTAATTATAATAGTAAATACTAAGAAAAGAATGAATCTATCTAGCAGATTAAAAACATGACTTGATGATTATTAAAAATTATTAAATATAGTTAAGAATCCACAATTGAAATCCTATGAAGAATAAAAAAAGCAGCAGATAGGTATGAGTTGTTATGTTCCCACTACCTAAGGTGAAATTATTCAGTTAGTAGATATATACTGAACACATGCTATGTTTTAGGCACTGTGCTAAACATTGGCGATAAGGACAGAAAAATGTCAAGTAGCTCATAGTTTAATGGGAGAAACACACAAATAATTAGGTAATTACAATTTCGAATGGCATGTGTTACAGGTAAGCATAGACTAACCCTATCCCAAACTGAGGGAATTAAGGAAAACTTCTGTGCTTCTGAGAAGAAGTGACATGTGAGTTAATTCTCACATATTGAATTTGCTAAGTGAACCAGGAATAGAGAGACAAGAGGAGGTCCCATGCAGAGAAAATAATATGTACCAAATCTCAGAAAGAAGAAAGCCCGCAGTATTTGGGAGTACTCTTAAGCCATTTAATGTGCCTGAACCTTAGGGGGTGGTGAAATGTGAAGTGAAGAGAGAAAAGTTGAGAGAAGTAGGCAGAGGTCAGATTATGAAAGGCACTAACAATTCTATTATATTTTCACTTAATCCTGAAGGAATTAGGGAACCACTGAAAAGATTTCTCTAGAGAAGTAGCATGTTTGTATTTACTTTAAAGTTCAAAGTGAATGTAGGGGTGCATTGTGATAAAAAGATAATGAGGAGGTAGCTACAATAATGTAGGTGAGAAATGATGAACGCTTAATCTAAGATCACACCAGTGGGAATGGAAGGAGACATCCGTGGGTTGGCAAGACTTTACCCAGGTGCAATTGATACGAATTGATAACTGCTTAGAAGGGACATAGGGAGGAGGAGGATTGAGAGACGATTCTCAGGGTTTTGGCTTAGGCAAGTGGGTAGTTGTTGATACCATTCACTGAGATATGGGGAACATTTGAGGAATTCAGGACTCAGGAAGGGAAGATACTGAGGACAGTGTTGTCCATGTTAAGTTTGACATGTTTGTGGATCCAGGCGTACAGGAAGTTAGTATATAGTTTGGAAATTAGGACAGAGATGTAGACTAGATACACATGTTGGAATTGTTGATAATGTCAGTGGGTGAAGCCACCCATGGAAAATGAGCAGAGAAGAGAAAGAAACCAAGAATAGAAGTCTGTGGGGTGCCAACATTTTAGTATGAGAGGGATAGAGGAAGTTTTTGTTAAAACAATGTTTTTTCCAATCTGTCATCTATAAAAAGGAGGGAATAACACAATTATGAGAGTGCCAACCCATCATAATCATTCAGACTCCTTATGTAAGCATATTTATTTTGCTCTCTACCTAAATAGGTTCTCTGGATGGCCCCATCATTACTACAATAAGCTGGAAAATTAGTAAATAGAGTATAGATTATTAGTTTGATTCCATATGTCTCTAGAGAGGAGACAGAAGGGAAGGCTTATAAAACTTTTTTTAAAAAAATTAGGGCCGGGCATGGTGGCTCAAGCCTGTAATCCCAACACTTTGGGAGGCCGAGGCGGGTGGATCACAAGGTCAAGAGATCGAGACCATCCTGGTCAACATAGTGAAACCCCGTCTCTACTAAAAATTAGCTGGGCATGGTGGCGCGTGCCTGTAATCCCAGCTACTCAGGAGGCTGAGGCAGGAGAATTGCCTGAACCCAGGAGGCGGAGGTTGCGGTGAGCCGAGATCACGCCATTGCACTCCAGCCTGGGTAACAAGAGCGAAACTCCGTCTCAAAAAAAAAAAAAAAAAAAAAAAATTAGAGACAGGGTTTCACTATGTTGCCCAGTCTGGTCTCAAACTCCTAGGCTCCAGCAATCCTTCCACCTGTGCCTCCAGAGTGCTGGGATTTTAAATCTTTTTAAGGACTGGTAGTCGTTTTGCATTTTTAATTGTAGTTTCAGACTATACTAAATTATTCTGGCATTCTCTCTTTTAGAGTCCAATGAATCGGAACCTGAATGTGACCAGTGTAAAGATGGTTACATAGGCCCGAACTGCAATACATGTGAAAATGGCTATTACAATTTTGACAGCATCTGTAGAAAGTGCCAATGTCATGGCCACGTGGACCCAGTTAAAACTCCAAAGATTTGCAAGCCCGAGAGTGGTGAGTGCATCAACTGCCTCCATAACACCACTGGGTTTTGGTGTGAGAACTGCCTAGAAGGTTATGTTCAAGACCTCGAGGGAAATTGCATCAAGAAAGGTAAAACTTCACCTAAGTGGTTGTAAATTTAATATCTAAACCTAGCAGTGAAAATTTCAGCAGTGAAAAATGGAAGGTTTTGTAAAACCTTCCAACCCTACCAGAGGAGTTTCTGGAAATAGATTTTGATAGATATTTGCCTAAAGAGGTTTCCTTCCATTCCTGCTGCTCTTCTGACACTCCACAGTCAACTCCAGAAATTTGAGGACCAAGACAAAGTCATTGAGACAGTGAGACAAAATGTTCTCACGTTTTCTCTTCATCTATTTTTATTTTTATGTTAATAATTTAAGAATCCTATCATTTCTTTTATTCTTTGCTTCCTTTATTCTCTTCACTTCCAATGATCACCAAAGGTCTTTTGAAGTAGGGACATATAATCTGGTAAGAAGTTCCGGCTAAGAAACTGGAGTTCATTCTAGCATCTGTCCTAACTTGGGGCCTAAGTTTCCTCATGTACAATGGAGGAAATAATAATATTCCTTTTAATTTTTAAAAGCAAAAGTTGTTCATATGGCAAAATATTTTCTTACAGGAAATCTCAGTAAAGATTAATTTTAAAAATTAATGATTACAAATTCAGGATGAGTTAAGGATAATGAGGGTTTATCAAGTCACAGAGAGATTGGACCATGCTGTTCTACAAACCACTCTTTCCACTCTTCGCTATTCTAACATGCTGAACACTAGGCTGATGAACAGTTGGTCTGTGGCAAGTATCATCTTTCTGCCATTTTCTTGATATCTTTATACTGTTGTGATCAAAGCAGAAAGATTCAGATTGAACCCTGTTACTAGCTAGAGATCCCACTACTCAATTCTCTTACCTATTTGGGAGGCACACTTGGTCTATACTTAGCTGACAGGACTGATGATTCTTCTTATTAGTTATTAGGTAATATGTATAAACTTTGCCTCTTTTTAGAATAAATTGATATGGCTTTCCATGGTGAATAATTATAATAATAATAGTAATAATTTTCTTGAGTACCTACTATATTCGAAGCAATGTAAGCATTAAATGTGATAATGCTGTATGGCACATTATTTCATTTAATTCTTCCCAAGAACTCAGCAAAGTTGGTGTTATTATTCACATTTTGCAGATAAGGAAACTGAGCTTTAAAAAAATTGACTTATCTATAGCCACACACTTCTATTTAATTCCAAAGCCTTTGGTTCTTCCACCAAACTATGCTGCCATTAGAAATACAAAGTGTAGTACCTTAATTATAAAGTAGCTGTAATCTACACAAAGGAAGAACTCCTACACATGGAGTTAAGGAAAGCTGTTTTCTCTCTTGGCTGACATCAGCCTTGGACATTTAAAAGTTGTTTTTCAGACATAACTAGAGGTACAGCTTTCCCTACACCTCCTTTGCAGATAATTATTTTACCTTTATGATATACCATCAGACTTGTTAGACTTATTTTTGTTCCAATGATTGCCATGTATCTCTGTCACTTTTAACTATGTGATTTAGAACTCAGTAATGACACATTTACTGCCTTTGCAGAAATTTGTTGTCATTTTATCTAAGAGTAAATAAGAATGAAAAACTCCAACGCTGGTATTTTCCAAAAGATTTCTTTCTTTCTTTTTTTTTTTTTTTTGAGATTGAGTCTTGCTCTATCACCCAGGTTTGAGGGCAGTGGTGCAATCTCAGCTTACTGCAACCTCTGCCTCCCCGGTTCAAGCAATTCTCTGCCTCAGTCTCCTGAGTAGCTGGAATTACAAGCACCTGCCACCACACCTGGCTAATTTTTATATTTTTAGTAGAGGTGGGGTTTCACCATCTTGGCCAGCTGGTCTTGAATTCCTGACCTCATGATCCACCTGCCTCAGCCTTCCAAAGTACTGGGATTATAGGCATGAGCCACCACACTCGGCCCAAAGATTTTAATGTAGATATTATACATATTGGAAAAGAGCCGTAGATATAATAATCTAGCTTTCTGGACCCTGATTCTTACCCTTATCACTATATTTCTTTAAAAATTATTTTTAACTTGGATTACCTTAAATAAAATATCATATCAACATCCTACATCAACGTTCATTCCCATGTGTATTTCTTTTACTGTTTCTCAAAACTAGATAATTTTGTCTTTTACATTTCATTCTCTGTTTTTATTTTCAGAAGTTATTGTTCCAACACCTGAAGGTTCTACCATTTTGGTTTCCAATGCCTCTTTGACCACATCAGTGCCCACCCCTGTCATAAATAGTACTTTTACCCCTACAACCCTGCAGACTATCTTTTCAGTAAGCACTTCTGAAAACAGCACTTCAGCTTTAGCTGATGTATCATGGACCCAATTTAACATCATCATTTTGACAGTCATCATCATTGTTGTGGTGCTGCTAATGGGATTTGTGGGGGCTGTATATATGTACCGTGAGTACCAAAACCGGAAACTCAATGCCCCCTTTTGGACCATCGAGCTGAAAGAAGACAATATCAGTTTCAGCAGCTACCATGACAGCATTCCCAATGCAGATGTGTCAGGATTGTTGGAAGATGATGTCAATGAAGTGGCTCCCAATGGGCAACTGACCCTGACGACTCCCATACATAACTACAAAGCCTAAGGAGCTAGAACTGTTTTCCTGAATTGTTAAACCACAGTGCTTACTAAGACAGCATCAGCCCCTGGGCCAGACAAAGCCTGGCTAGAGTTTGTTGAGAAAGCAAAGGCAAATAGTGCATCTGAAATTTTCAGATACAAATTTGTAATGTGCTTAGCCTATCTATTGCTCTTAGTTTTTCCATGAAGATCTGAAATGTTCTCTGTCATTAGGACTTGAAGTAAAGTATATTTTTGTACGAAACCACATGGGAGTATGGAAAGGCTGGACGCCACAGTGCAGCCCAAATCCACTTTGACCTCCAGATAGACTCCTGGGGAAGTGTTCACCAAGCCAGTGGTAACAAGATGATGGATGTGGAGGGGGAAAGGACTGCTGGAAGACTTCATCTCCATTTCTGAAACTTTAAAAAAAAAAAAAAAACAACAGGGATGATACTCATTTTGCTATACAAAAGGACATAATTGAGGAAAAGCTGGTTTCTAGGCTGTATCACAATAATCTTGATTGTTTCTAGAGTAGGGGTAGAAAAGTCCCAAGATCTTCTAAAGGGCTTGGTTTTTTCCTCCCAGGATTCTTGCTCAGTGGTGAGATAAGAGCACAGGATGAGCTTCTAATGGAGGAAGGCAGCACTGGGGAGCAGGAGGCTGATGGTCCTCCTCAGGGTCTCAGTGTAAATGACAAATTGTCTAAAAATAAGGAAGATTCCTGCCTCTAGAGAAATAAGTTGTACATAGTTAATGTAGCATATCTGGTCAACGTTGTATTTGTATCTATTTGTAAAAAAAATCATGTCATATTTTATCATCTGGAATTTATTTGTATAGCAGTTAATGGTGTTGTAAAAAGAAAATATGGGGATTGCTTAAAATACTGTAAAATAGATGGCAATATTGCTAGAGCTGGGACTCTGGTGAGCATCAGTCATTTTTAGTCCCTCTTGAGGACATTGCTGAAATTTATAAGAGGTCAAATGTTTCATTCTTTCTTTCTTTCTTTTTTTTTTTTGAGACGGAGTTTCTCTCTTGTTACCCAGGCTGGAGTGCAATGGCGCAACCTCGGCTCACCGTAACCTCCGCCTCCTGGGTTCAGGCAATTCTCCTGCCTCAGCCTCCTGAGTAGCTGGGATTACAGGCACGTGCCACCATGCCCAGCTAATTTTTTGTATTTTTAGTAGAGACGGGGTTTCACCATGTTGACCAGGATGGTCTCGATCTCTTGACCTTGTGATCCACCCGCCTCGGCCTCCCAAAGTGCTGGGATTACAGGCTTGAGCCACCGTGCCCGGCCTCATTGTTTCTTTTCTCAGTCTAAAAGTAGAGTTATATGCTCTTTGACTTACTATGATTCAAGCAATAGATTTTAAAGTCAATAGTCATTAAGCTGGGATATAGGATGCATTCTCCAAAAACACTCATCTAATTAGATACTAGCCACCCTATATATTTTACATAGATTAATATAAAACATATCCTCATTAAAACATGTTTTTCCTGAATGTAAAAGATAGTCTTCCAAAGGATAGAAATATTTTAGTTCCAAGAGAAAAGCCATCATATTACTTGGGATCTGTAGTTTTTCCTGTCTGTGAAATATTTATAATCCCACCCTCACTCCAAATAAAAAGTCTCCTACATGTGAACACAGCTGTCCCTCATTTGCCATGAGGTACGTGCTGTCTCCCTGCAGTGCTATAATTTTCCCATCGCCTTCCTGTCTGGTTAGAGGGTAGCTCTGTGGATGGGTGTGTATAGTTAGTTCTTGCTTTTTGGTGCAGTTTTTCCCTAGAGGCCAACTACTGTTGCTCTCGTTGATGATATTGACATTTTGGGTTAAACAAGCTGGGTGGGAAAGGTGGTCAGAAGTCAAATATAACGTATTAGGAGGAACAGTGAACTGTGAAGTGGTTAGGAAAAAAATGAAGACTTCTTACTAGATTAGGCCTAGGAAATCCAAGCTGACCCCTCTGCCTAACTTCCCTAGAGAAAAACCTAGAACTTGGTCATCCCTTTATAGGAGACCCCTACGTTGTTCTCAGGGTTTGGAGATGATGTTCTGGAGGATAGACAAGCAAATAATCTACTTCTGGTAACCCAAGGGTGCTTTGCGTATTTGGCCGTTGCTCACAAGAGTAGAGGTTACATTATATGAAAATTAGTTGGTATTTCTATAGCCCTTTGTAGTTTGCAAAGCACTTTTCCATGTGTGTGTTCTCTCTTCCTCACCATAGCCCCGGAGGAAGTAATTGCTGTCTCCATTTTATAGTCAAAAAGACTGAGGCACAAAGGAGCTAAATGTCTTGTTCAAGGCTACGCAATGTGTGTCATGATTAGACTTGGAATCAGGACTCCTAACACTAAAGCACATGTTTTTGCAACTATATGCAGAAATTGCCTAGCCATGGACACAAGAAAGCTGGGAGGAAGAGTTCTACTTGTGGATGTTTTTAATTTTTTGTAAATGTAAGGAGCAATCCAGGGCCATACAGCTATGAAGCACTTAGTGAAAAGAACACAGGAAGATTACTATCTGAATCTAGTATTAGTGATTAGAAAACAAAACTGACAGTTTGTGCTTCATTAAAGTGAACTCATCTCTCCAAGCAGGGAGGGAAAACTTGCTTTCCCCAGTGGTTGCTGCATATGTGAGTACAGACTCTGCACTGCACAATTCTAAGAAATTGTGCAAAATGGCATACCCGACTTTCTACCAGATACACCGCCCCTGCCTCCGCAAAAAAAAAGGTCAGGATTAAAGGTAGTGAGAAGAGAACATTTATTAAACACAAGTTAAACCAATAGAGAAAGGAGGTTTATTGGAGTCTAAGAGGATTTTGACCATGTAGAAGTTCTTTGAAACAGACCTTAAAAGGCATTGAAAAATTGAATCACAAAGAAAGTTGACCTTATACTTGTTAATGGCTCCTAGGTTGTGGTTGTAATTTTTCCCAATGGAAAAAGAAAAGTCTTAAAATTTGTTTTAAATAATATCCTCTAAAGTCACCAGCTTTTTGCTTCTGGAAATAATTTGCTTTAAAATGTAAATCAATTGCAAAGTGATCTACCACCGAAATCAGTCTAGGAGACTGGTATGGAATGCGCTGCACAGTGTTCTTTCTGCCAAAGGCGTGAGACCCTTAAATTGTGGCATCAGCAGCAGCATGCCATCAGTCCTTTAGAAGGCCTAACATTCGGAGAATGTTTGTGTAAGGATTGAAAATGTGCTTATTTTTAAATAAGATAGCACTGATGTGAATCTTATTTGGAAATGATAGATACTGCTTTCAAGTGATACTTTTATCTTCTTTGATTTGCGCTTATGCATTTCTGATGGTTAGGTGCGCTAGGTGTAGTGTTAAGTATGCCCTTGTCCTCCCTTACTCCTCTTTCACTCCCTCTATGCTCTATCCCCCCAGAGTTCTTTTATTAACAGAATTTCTCTAGTTATAGAGAAAAAAATGACATTTGAAAACTAAAGCTCATTTATATTAATACTAAGGTCCTATAGGCCTAGTGCATTACTCTTCCCAGTGATACCTAGATTTTAAGAGTAGAGGAAACATGGGATGAGAGGAGAGAGTTTTTTTAGACAAGATTTGTAGATGCCTCAAATTATATGGCTATTGTATAGTGCCAATATTCCCAGGTAAATTGACTGTTAAAGCAATACTCACTGACCTGCTAGTTTATTTTGGTCAGCTGAGTGCCATCAGGATATTTAGCCCTTTAAGTGCTGTTTGGGAAGCAGAGAACTAAAGCAACAATACTTCCTCTTGACAGCTTTGATTGGAACGGGGTTATTAGATCATTCACCTTGGTCCTACACTTTTTAGGGCACTTGGTGAATATTACACCACTTAAAATGAACATCCTGGTTCCTGTATTTTGGGCTATGTGGATAGGAGTTGAATTTCCACATCTCAAGACAAGCTCTCTAACAAAAAGTTCAGAGAAGTAAAAAGTAACCCAGTGTAACCTATTATAGCAAGAAAAGCATTTCTGTCTTCATCCACAAAGAACCTTTGGCCTGTTACAGTCTTCTTGATAGGAAGGAGTTTGGGAGCTAAAATGAATTTGGTGTGTGTGGGGGAGTAAGGGAAGACTAGTGCATTTTTCTGTTTAACCCTGAGCAAGTGCCTATGCCAAGGGGAAAGGCAGGAAGAATACACTGATACATCTGAAGAAGTCAAATAGTATCAAACGGACTAAAGGTTATGGATCATTAAAATGTCAGTGATTGAATGATGTTTGTTGAAAGGCAATTTGGGAATCTTTCTTGTTACTTATGCATTCGCAATAACTGCAGCAGCAGCCCTAGAAGGTGAGCCCAGGGCTTCAGATCTCCGTCCAAAAGCTAAATGATTTAAAGTGAAGTTTTAAATTCTAGGCACAAGCACTCTATAATACATTAAATTAGAGCCTGAGCAATTAGGGAATGTTTCTGAAACATTAAACTTGTATTTATGTCACTAAAATTCTAACACAAATTTTAAAAACGTGTCTCATACATATGCTGTACTAGGCTTCATCATGCATTTCTAAATTTGTGTATGATTTGAATATATGAAAGAATTTATACAAGAGTGTTATTTAAAATTATTAAAAATAAATGTATATAATTTGTACCTATTGTAGATTTGTTGTTTTACTTTTTTATATGGTCAGAGTTGTCTGATGTCTTCAAATATATGCCAAGGATCATTTATTTTCAGCCCACTTCATAAAAATCTTTCAATGCTTCATTTATTGGCCATGCATTTTGTTTAAGTTTGTTTAAAGAATGTCTTCTACTTGGGGGAAAATTATCCATGAAGAAGATTCCCTCTCTTAAAGGAAAACAAAACAAAACCTGAGAAGAAAATTTATTAATCTGTATTTTTGTTTGTGCTTTTGCCTGTTTCCTCTAGATCCATCAGGAGTTCCATGAAAATTTTATAGAGAAAACTTGCTCACTTTGGATTTCTTTGTCACACATATAAAGAATTTTCTTTCTTTGGTAGAAATCTGAAGAGAAACCACATTCTGTGTGTTTATTAAGCAACTTGTAATGAGAGTACTTTTTTTTTTTTTTTTTTTTTTTGAGATGGAGTCTCACTCTGTTGCCCAGGTTGGAGTGCAGTTGTGCGATTTTGGCTTGTTGCAACCTCCACCTCCTGGGTTCAAGCAATTCTTCTAACTCAGCCTCCCGACTAGCTGGGACTACAGGCATGTGCCACCACACCTGGCTAATTTTTGTATTTTTAGTAGAGACGGGGTTTCACCATATTGGCCAGGCTGCTCTCGAACTCCTAACCTCGTGATCCACCCCCCTCGGCCTCCCAAAGTGCTAGGATTACAGGCATGAGCCACCACACCCAGGTGAGAGAACATCTTTTAAATATTTTAAGCTACTCTTGAAGAACCTGTTATTTTGACAAAGCTAGATGGTGTTTAATGGGATGTGATCTGAGAAATTCCTTTGTTTGAAAAAAAGAAAAAAACAAGTCAGGCATTTCTTTATGCTAGAGCTTTATAAACTTAAATTGTTTTATTCAACTTCAGTTGGTTGACTTTTTTTTTTTTTTTTTTTTTGAGACGGAGTTTCGCTCTTGTTACCCAGGCTGGAGTGCAATGGCGCGATCTCGGCTCACCACAACCTCTGCCTCCCGGGTTCAGGCAATTCTCCTGCCTCAGCCTCCTGAGTAGCTGGGATTACAGGCACGTGCAACCACGCCCAGCTAATTTTTTGTATTTTTAGTAGAGACGGGGTTTCCCCATGTTGACCAGGATGGTCTCGATCTCCCCACCTCG